TTGTAATTTCAGGGAAAATGTGTGCTCTAGAGATGCTCGGGGGTCGGGCACACCCCGAGGAGTGATCTCTAATAGTCATTGGGTTTACATCCCTTAGAATCAGAAGAAGGACATCTAATGCTAATGCTACCCTTGATGCTAATATCCCTCCTTTTTGGAAGATCATTTTTTTAAGGTACGGAGGGGAGACTTCCCTTTTCATCGTACGACTTGTTCTTTTGTAGGGTCGTATTTTAAAGGATTATCCTTAAAATCTAGTGGCTCTCTTATTCTTTGAGTATCCTTTCCAAGCCCTTGTCCTGGGCTGTATCCATATCTCTATTATATGGGCCACTTTCATATTACTAGGAAGTCTTTCCATATTGTCGCCGCCGTCCCTTTCGACGTCTTAAAGACGTCTTGAAACGTTTATGCGAGCGGTCGCGAAAAGATGGTTTAGACTCGCGTATTTGTTTTAAAAGGTTTTCGAAAAGGGGTTCTTATGGAGTCGCCACCAATGTTTTGACCATAAACATTGGAAAAGGATAAAAGGCATTGATTTTAATGAAAAACCAAACTTGGCCGTTATAACCAGAGTTGGGTAAGGAAGTTAGTTACGTGTGGGGAAGGTGTTAGCACCCCACAACGCCCCTTTCGGATTCCCTATGACGGATTAATTCATTAAGTGAAGATTATGAGAAATTACGCGATTACCCTATTTTATTGCATAATATTGAAATGACTATCTACATAATTTTATATAAATAAAGCTAAATAAAGCAATAAAAGAGATATTAAAATGGCTATCTACATGATTTTATTCTACATGACATAATAAATAAAATAAAACAATAAATAAAGCAATAAAAGAGAAGGGAATTGAAAAGAACCTCCGTAGCAAGCTTTATATTGAGAATCTTGAACTATGAGGCTGCGTTTTGGCAACCCCTCTCTCTATACAGACTCTCCTCACCAATACAAGATCGACTCCACTAAAAATTTAAAGAAGAATCAAATGCCGGAATATAATTCCTTAACCGATTGTTACCTATTTAAGGCAATCGGAAAGATCATTCGAGAGAGGGAGAGAAGTAGACAAGTGCTCTGAGTGTTTCAGAGCTCTTCTGGAGTGTCTGTGGTCTGAAAAAGTGGCAAATGAGCCTCTTATTTATAGTTTTCGCAGCTGGCGCACATCGGGACCACCGTCTGGAGTGGGACGGCCGTCTGGACTGGGACGGCCGTCCCAAATGGCATTTTTACACAGGCTGGGACCCCCTGGGAACCCGGGACGGCCGTCCCACTTAAACTGGGACTTGGGACGGTCGTCCCAACTTCGGGACACGCGTCCCAACTGGTTGGGGCAGGTTGGGACGGCCGTCCCAACTTTGGGACGGCCGTCTCGACTTGTTCTGGCCAGTTTCGCGTTTCGGGACTCCAGGAAGCTTTCCTTTCATGTTTCGGACGTCAGTTGGTGCCGATATGTGTCTGTTGAAGCTTTACCTTCATATAGGAAGTCTCCTTGGCTCTTATTTGTAATGCTAGACGAGCTTTATCTTGTTACGGGTGATCTCCTTTATCTTTATTTGAGAAACCGGGCAAAATTAGGGGTCTACACATATTTTTAAATGTCCTCTTCAGTCGCATCCATTTAAGGTGTGATGGACGGCTTGCTGATTCGAATGTAGTCTTTAGCTTGAACCATGATCAACTTGTCGCCTACCACGAATTTGATTTTTCGGTGGAGCGTTGAAGAAAGTGCCCTAGCACCGTGAATAAAAGGTCTACTTAATCTTCCCTTTGGATTCTTTTTCCTTTTCCTCTTCGGTTTCTTTATTTTTCCTTTGTTTTTAGGAGCATTATCTTGTAGCTCCTTGGTGAATAAATTCTTTTGCTTCTCGTTGTGCCCCCAATGTCGGCTATATTGGAGATATCTTCATTGACGGACAATTCTTCTGTGCATATCCATAGTACAACTTTATCCGATGTATAAGGGAAAAGACGAGGCATGAATAAGCGCAAAGGTGTTATTGCCCCTTCCCTGACATTATCAATTTGGGTACTGATATTTACTTCTTTCTTATTATCTCTTTGTCCCAAATCGATGGCCTAAGTTTTTTCCTGATGGGGCTGTATCAATTGAGCTTATTTTTCCAACAGTCTTTGCATGTCCGGGGAAATGGTCCCCTCCTCACTGTCTGACTCAATCCATTCGCCTTCGGCTTTCAGATACCGCAGAGAGTTTTCAATCACAGACATGACTGTTTATATGGTCTATATTTGGGTTTAGGTTTTATTTAATTATTTTGGAATGAGAGAGAAAAGAATGAAAAGAATATGCACATTATGTAAAATGCCTCATTGTATTGATCAAAAGAGAAATATGTACAGAGCCCTTTTAATCAAAAGATCTCGCGGCCACAGGCAGAGATCGCGAGAGATGCATCGGAAGCTTTTTTTTTATTATTTTTTTTTCAAAACCAAAAGATGCACAAAATGGGGAGCCCTAATTAGATGGCCTTCTCTACCCAAGCTCACTATTCTGGTTGTGATAGAGGCTTGATGTTTACGTTTGGGTCGGGAGCATCGAAAGTAATCCACCCGGCATTCAATAATTCTTGAACCCTATATTTCAGGTTGACGCAATTCTCCACGGAATGCCCAGGAGCACCTGAGTGGTAATCACATTTTTCGTTGAGTTTGTACCAACCAGGGTAAGGTGGATCTTTCTTCTTTGGGGAGATACGTGTTAAGAGCTTGGCCTCTAAAAGCCTTGGTAGCAGACTCCCATAAGAGATTGGGATGGGAGTGAATTTCTTCTCTTGTCTGCGTGACTGTCCAGCTGATGGCGAAGAGGAAGAAAGAGTAGTAAAGTTCATGGCATTTACACTTCCCTCCTTTTTCTTGCCAAAGGGCTTCTTGAATGATGCATGGGATTTCTTAAACTTGGGAGGGAATTGAGTATTTTTGACATCGGTTACCTCCTTTACATCAAAGTTGTATCCCTCTAATGCCCTTAATTTCTCTTCTAAGGAAGAAATTTGTTGTTTGGAAACCTCATTGTAGAGGCATTGTTGGCGTATTAGTTCCATTAAATACGCTATCTGCTCTTTTACGAAGTTAAGCTCAGTGGTGAGCCTGTGGTTTTGTTTCTCTAACCACTCATTTAATTGCGGCACCTGCTCCTTTATGGCATTAAGCTTAACGGTGAGCATACGGTTCTGCTCCTCTAATTGCTCCATCTTCTTGGCTTTTTGAGCGCGAGTGAGAACAGGTAGAAGACCAGCCACTTTCTAAATGATTTAAAGATTTTTATTATTATAGCTTTTTTATTATGAATGATCAGTGTGGGATAGATATGCCTTAGACCATAGCTTTGGTATCTTCTCAAAAGCCTATGTTTTAAGGGTACCATACCCACCTTAGTGTGCTAACTTCTTTTTTTTTAAAAGGTTGTCAACATACTTTAGCGCACTTATCTCTTCTAGGAAGGTGATAAACGCACTTGGGTCTCTTTCGCTATGGTCTAAGGATATCTAATACATCCTAGAATGAGTGTGTTTATGCATGCACTACAAAAATATTTTTTTTTATGACAGCAAATATTGAAAGTGGAATAACTTTTGACTGGGTTGTTCGATTTGGACGCACAGCATGTCAAAACGAAGAGAAAAGGGTGAATAACAAAACTGCAAATCCCCTTTGGATTTGGCCCAGTAATTTTCCCAAAAAAAGCTCCTAAGACCCATTTTTGGAGGTTTATTAAAATGATGTGCATGCATACTTTTCTTAGTGCATTTATTTTCTCTCTTAGTTTTACCACTTATTGGATGATGTGGTATGAATGATACGACTTTGCCAATAATCTTTTTATTATAAAAGGCATTCTTATGGGTTTTAATTGTTTTTATATTTGTCGCCGCCGTCAAAACGAGGGGCGGTCGGAGCGACGCGATGGTTTCGACCCTCTTGTTTTTGCGTTTTTTGTTGGTGGTTACAACGCCTTTAGATTGTCCGATAATCGGGCTAACCTAGGGGCGAGGTTTTCGAAAGGTCGTCCTTGGGTTGTCCGATAACCGGGCTAGCCCAAGGACTAATTTTTGAAGGGTTCTGTAGAGTCGCCACCGATGTTTTTATCGGAAACATCGGGAAAGGAGTTTAAAAGGTGTTGGTTTTCGAAAAACCAACTTTGGTCATTAGAACCAGAGTTGGGTAAGGGAGTTAGTTACGTGTAAAGGAAGTGTTAGTTCCTTTACTACGCCCCTTTCGGGTTCCCTATGATAGGCCAGCTATTCTATTGATAAATAAACCGGAAAATACGCTTTTAGCCTTTTATTTGCGGAATTAAAATATTATGACTACATGGCCCTATCTATTGCGTAATTTAAATAAAGCGGTAAAAGGTGAGGGAGGGAGTAGAAACCTTCGAAGCAAGCTTTCTATTTTTATTTCTCAATAAATTGGGTGCGTTTTGGCAGCCCTTCACTCTACAGTGCCGGAAAACCTCTCGAAACGCTCAGAAATCACTCTAAAGACACTCAGAAGCTCCGGAAATGCGTCGGAGGGATTTTAGAGAGAGAAATCCTAGAGAGAAGGAGGAGAGAATGTTGTGTGGTGTGTGGAAATGAGGGGGGGGGAGCCCCTATTTATAGGTTCTCGCGCCTGACAGTGGCGAGACCGCCGTTCTCGTCTGACAGGGTCGAGACTGCCGTCTCGCCAAACGAGACCGCCGTCTCGTCCTTCGCAGGTGGCGAGACCGCCGTCTGGGAAAGCGAGACCGCCGTCTCACCATTCGCAGGTGGCGAGACCGCCGTCTCGTTTGGCGAGACGGAGGTCTCGCCATTTGCATGAGGCGAGACGGCGGTCTCGTCCCCAAAAAGGCGAGAAACCTTATTTTTGTGCCGAAAATCCTTCCTATCCTAGTATGGGGCCTAGTAGTCTCTCCTAGTGGCTTGTTAGGCTTCGTCCATCTTCAAATAGGAAGTCTTTTACTCTTTATTTGGAGGCCGGGCAAGATTTGGGGTCTACAGCTGCCCCCCCTTTACCTGACTAGTCAGGAACGTAAGCCAAGCCTGGTAGCGTTGTGTAAAACAATTCTTTTTCGGTAGCGAGCGCAAGTCAAGCGGTGGAAACGAATTCCATTGAAAGGTGTCAGCCAAAGGATTCCTCGTCGAAGGTAAACTATGTATCTCAGAAAGCGAAACCAATAGGCTAAGAAGATTTTATGACGCAGTGCGGGCACTGGATGGAATAGACAGATAATAATAAATATAACAACCCACCGGAAGGGCATACCTCAGGAGCACCAATCTCCCCCGGCAAACATCTATCTGCACGAAGCCGACCTATGCTATGGGTAGAAATAAAAATAAAATATGAAAAAAAAAAATATGGGGAGTGTGAGATACGCGAACGGGGAGTACGCAGCCGAACAACCGCATTCCAGCAGTGATAGCTGAACTAACCAGATGGGCCGCCCAAAACATGGAGCTGACAAATAAATAGGAAATCAACGTCGGATCCCGGCTATCCGAAAAACGCAAACTGAAGCGGAGGATCACAAAAAAATGCAACACAAAAGAAAAGGGGCGAACCAAGCGCTTGCGCGAAGGAAGAAGCGAATCAACCAGAATGGAGACAGGGAGGGGAGGCGAAAGAGAGATTTTCGAGCCTGCAAAAAAAAAAAGCAGCAAGCAACAACGGCTTTTCAGCCGTTGCGCGCTTGCTTGTAATTTAGGGGGTAGGGGTGCCCCTTTCTAAAACTTATATTTAATATTTTCTAAAACTTATATTTAATATTTAATATAAGACTAATAAATAAAGATCCAGAAGAATGGGTCTAGGCTTTCGAAAAGATGAAGATGCAAAGGGTAAAGAGAAAATAAATGTCTTTTTTTTAACAACCAACCTGACATAAGGATTCTAGCTCGCCCAGTTAGAGCAGATGGAGATTCTCGGACGGGGAAAAGCGGCACTCGACATCTATTCTATTAAATCTATTAAACAACACCAAGAACAAAGCCAGACAGATTGACAGGAAGGTAAAGGAGTTGACCCACTTGCCCGGTCACCCTTCAAATGCTCCGTCTTGTGGCGGCTGATCTTCTGGGGACAATGTTGGTGCTCATGCACCTCCGGGATACTCCTTCTGACGGTAGCCGATCCCTTCGATGGACACGTGGTAAAACCTCAGGATACTCCTTCTGACGGTAGCCGATCCTTCAGTTGATGGGTATAAACCCCCCATCCGGCTGGTAGTTGCAGTCCATTATGCGGGACTGGATGGGTATGAACCCCCCATCAGGCTGGTAGTTGCAGTCCGTTGTGTGGGACTGGATGGGTATGAACCCCCCCCAATCAGGCTGGTAGTTGTAGTCTGTTGAGTGGGACTGGATGGGTATGAACCCCCCATCAGGGTGGTAGTTGCAGTCCGTTGAGTGGGACTGGATGGGTATGAACCGCCCATCAGGGTGGTAGTGCGACTTACTGATCTGGCTCGAGCGCAGATCAGGCGCACCGCGTGCGCAGGTTGATAGGTATGAACCCCCTATCAGGCTGGTACAGTCCACTACGTAGGACTGGTGGTAGTGGCGTCTTACTGCTTAGTCGCTCATGCGCCGAACGTTGAGACGTGCTTGCTTTTGTTTGTCTTTTTTGGGAATTGTCATCCGGTCTGTGCCGGGGGTCTTGTCGGTGTTTCATCCAGCTTGTTGATTGCCGAGGATTCTTTGTTTTTGATCTTGACTTTTTTTGGTGGTGGTCATCCGACTTTGCTGGGTGTCGGGGATTTTTGATGAGTGCCTCTTAGGTAGGCAGGAATCCTCTGGGGATTTGTTGATCTTGGTGACGCCTCTTGAGTAGGCAGATATCCATTGAAAATTTGCTGATTTTGATGGTGCCTTTGAGTAGGCAGATACTCCATTAAGTTTCTGGTAATGCCTCTGAGTAGGCAGATGCTTCATCAGAAGTGAAGACTTTTGGTTGCATTTGTTTTGCCTTTGAGTAGGTTGATATTCCCTTATGGGGATGTTGGCTCTTGCTTGCCAAGTCTTGCCTATGCATAGGAAAATGATATTCTGAGGATGAATATGAAATTTTGCCTTTGCAGTAGGCTCACTGGGGATGATCTTTCTTTTTGAATGATCCACCAGGGAATTGGTTGCCTTCCCGGGGATCTAATTTTGATTTCCCCTTTGAGGGAATGGAGTTTTGACTCCTTGTTGGATGTTGTTGGTATGAGATGGCTTTGCCGATACTCTTGTTTTATTGGGATTTCCGATTCCTTCTTTTTCGTTGATTTTCCCTTTTCTGCGGTGACCCACTTTGATTGCCTAAAAGTTAGGATTGATTTCGCCTTTTTTTCACGATTTATTTCTTTTTTATCGCGATTTTGAAATCTGGCTTTTTAATAGGGATAATGCGTAAGCCTTTTTACTTTTTAGTCTCTTTTTATTACGCTGGCTTTTTCCCTTCTTTTTTGGGAGGTCCACTTGGGATGACGTTTTATTTCTTTAGTGATCCACCAGGGAATTAGTTGACTTCCTGGGGATCTGATTTTTCTTTTTTAGGGACGGAGTCTTGGCTCCTTGATTGATGTTGATGCGAGCTATACTTGTGAAGCTCTTATTCCACTAGGGGATGGGAATTTCTGATTCCTTTTTGTAGAGTTTTTTGGAGATCCACTTGAGGATTTTTACTCGGCCCTCGCTGTCATGGCCTTTTTGGACATCTGCTGGGGATGCAAGGGTTTTTTTTTTCTTTTCTCTTTTTTCTCTTCTTTCTTTTTGTTGAGCCCTTGATGGTTTGGACTCTTTTGACTGTTGATGATGATGGGCTCTTGAAGCTTTTATTCTCCATTGGGGAGTGTGGAGGACACTTTGGGTGAGTGTGCTCGATGACTCATGTGGTGGTAATGCTGAGCCGTGAGGAGTGTTTTTGTTTTTCCTTTGGAGTAGGAAGGGATCCTCTTGGGGATGACTAAGCCTTTCCGTCGGCTTTTCTTTTATGATGTCTGATGATTGTGCCCTCTTTTATTGGGTGATGATTGGAGCTTTGGTTTCTGGAAGCTTCTTATGACAACTCGCTCTTCTTTCTTGAGGGAGAGCAATGTTTGGAGACTTATTACTTTCTTGTGCCTTCTTTTCTGGGTAGAAGGGTGGTAGCTGAAGCTCTTGATTTTCAGAAGCTCTTATTCTGCTGAGCCGCTTGATTGACGACTTGCTCTGTTTTCTTGAGGGCATTATTTGGAGACTTGGTCTCGGTGATCCTGTTTTCAATCACAAACATGGAGCTAGTCTCCTTATATGCATGAATGCTTTTCGTTTTTTGTTATTTGTCTGAAGTAATTTTTATTTCTTTCATTTTTGACATTGACAAAGTCGTTTTGTGTGACTACTTGTGTGTGGATGCCCTAAATGCAATCTATTCTTTTTGATTGATGCATCTGGAAAAGTGACTGACATTCTCCTGCTGGAATTTTTATGATTATGATGAAGGGCCCCTCTCTTTTATTCATTTTTTGGTTTAGCCCTATCTTTTGCCTAGACCGCCCTTTTGGGGGTTTTCGGTCTAGCGGGCTGCCTTAATTCTTGCCCAGGATATCTTAGCGGGCTTTTTCCTTTTTTTATGAATGCCCTAACTTTTGCCTAGACCGCCCTTTGCGGGTTTTCGATCTAGTGGGCTACCCTATCTTTTGCCTAAGAATCTCCTAGCAGGCATTATTCTTTTTATTGTCATTTTTTCTTTCTCTTCTTTTTTGAGAGATAGGAGCCTATCATATGCATGCAATGTTTGCGATATGCATCCTATAATACTATTTCAATTAATTTTTTCAAAAGGATTAATCAATGTGCTTTTACTTTTGATGAGCTTCTGACGTTATGTGCTTTGTCGACATGATAGGCTGTACCGATTTTGCCGTCTTGACTTTGCCGTGATTGAAGAATGATTGTGTTGATTGTAGAGCGACTTGTCATGTCAGTGCGCCCCTCGCTTTCCTTGGGGATGTCAATCCTCCTATTGATTACTATTTCCACATTTCCCTACTAATTACTAGAATGTCGTAGTGGTAAGGGTCAAGAGAAAAGAAGGAAAATGATATTTAATTCAAACGCTTGTGTTTTAGAATTGTTTTATTTTGACAGAAATGGTTTTTCTAAGCACGGCTAGCCAAGGTTGGTTAGAGTGTTTAGGCTAGTTTAGACAAACGTTTTGTTTATGGAGTGACGTCTTGTTCTATGGTGCTTGCTATAACTGATTGACTTCCCTAGTCTGCCCTTTGGGTTTTCAGCTTAGGATGTTGTGTTTTGTTTTGTCCTAACTTTTGTCTAGGTTTCTTTTTTCTTGCTTTGGAAACCTAGCGGACTTTATTTTGTCACCCTAATTTTTGCCTAGGCTACCCTTTATGGTTGTTCAAGTTTCCTAGCGGGTTTACCCTAACTTTTGCGTAGCCCCCTTTGGTGGGTTTCCTACCGGGTATCTTGCCCTTTCTTTTTGGCCTTTAGCTTCTATGGGCTTCTTTTGATTTTTTGTTTTCTTTTTGCACAACATTGGCAAAACACGACTTTATTTATGACGAGGTAAAACTTTTATTTTGTGTTTCTAGCCAATCAGTGATGATGGATTTGACTTTTATTTTGGTCAATGGCGCATTTTGATTATTTTGACGCACTTTGAAAATGTTTGCTTAAACATGGTTATTAATGAGGTTTAGACATGAATAGCAAGAAGAGAGGCAGATAGTAAGAATGACATTCTTTGTAATTAATAGGGAAATATGTGCCCTACAATGCTCGGGGGTCGGGCTAGCCCCGAGGAGTAATCTCTAATAGTCATTGGATTTACAAACCCTAAGAATCAGAAGGAGAACACCTAATGAATAAAGTTTCTCTCAACGCTTGGACCCCTTTGTTTGGGAAAATCTGATTCGAGGTGCAGAGGGGAGACTTCCCTTGATCCTTTGTAGGGTAAAGCTTCAAAGGATTGTCTTTAAAATCTGGTGGTTCCCTTATTCCTTGAGAGTTTCTAATGAGCCCTTGGTTTGGGCGATATCCATATTTTCTCATCATGTGGGTCACCTTCATATTGTTGGGGAAGTATTTTCATATTGGCAAAAGATATTTCAAAGGTCCTCTTCCGCCGTATCCATTCGAGGTAGGGCAAACGTCTTGCTGATCCGAATGTCGTCTTTAGCTCAAACTGTGACTAGCTTGCCGCCTACCCTGAGTTTGTCTCTTTGACGGAGCGTTGAAAGAATTGCCTCAGCGTCGTGAATCCAGAGTCTCTTCAATTTCCTCTTTGGATTATGTTTTTCTTCGGTCTTTTTATTTTTTCTTTATTTGTAGGAGCGTCATCTTACAGCTCCTTGGGGGAATAGATTCTTTCATTTCTAATTTTGCCCCCAATGCCAGCTATGCTGGAGATATCCTCATTAATGGGCGGTGTTTTTGCGTATCTCCACGATACCTGTAGACCCCTAATTTCGTCCGGCCTCTCAATAAAAGCTAGGGAAACGTCACACGAAGATAAAGATCGCCCAGCTTATCAATAAACACCAACAAGACCTCCTACAATCACACAGAGTTCATCCAATTCCTCGACAAAGGCCAAAGAGACCTCCTATAAACAAAGATAAAAGTTCGTCCGGCATCTCAAAACGGGTCAAAAAGACTTCCCATATAAAGATAAAGCTTCAGGGGACATCTATCGGCATCAAACAATGTCCAAAAATAGCAAGGAAAGCTTCCCGGGGTCCCAGAACACAAAAACTGGACAAAACAGGTCGAGACCACCGTCCCAGAGTTGGGACGACCGTCCCAACTATCCTGGGACAAGTGAGACGTGCGTCCCACATGTGGGACGGCCGTCCCACTTCCCAGGGGGGCTGGCTCTGTGTAAAAATTTCAAGTGGGACGGC